CCACAGTGAAGTTAGTAATTGTAACATGTTTGTAAAGAAGCGAGTTGATTTGGTTTTAGTTTACTACTTTAAAAACATACATCAATATTTACAGAACTGTAAACAATGGGCACCACTCTCAAAATGTTTATTCATTCACAGATTGTGGGTGTCACTGTCACTATCAGCATTTATTGCACATTTTTATGCAACTCTAATGGCAATTAAAATTCAACAATATTTCTGTCATAACATATAGGCCAGCCAGACTGGGTAAGGACAGCAGAGTGCCTTCCACAAGAAATGTAATTGGAGAATTGATGCTCAGTCATTTTGTGGTGACTATTACAGGTACTGGAATTTTAATCCAGACATATTTAACTGAATTTACATTCCCCATTTGCTCTGAGTGGGGTTATGAATGTATCTCTCAAGATCATTCGTGCTGGCTTCTATGTTGTGTTTCAGTAATCATTTTGCAGCAAACCTGCCTTGATTTAGTTCAATGTCATATACACTTTGAAGCATGCGGATATTCCTGAAGCATCAGTTGCATCTTTGCAGCAACAACTGATTTCTCCAAATATTTGCTAAGCAGCCGCACAGTCAAGGTGTTCTATAAAAATAAAATAATTGCATAAATAATTAACTGACAAATGAATTACAATGTTTACTCCCACCCCAAGTCCTTTCATTTATATTTGTCTGTAGGTTAATCTGCATAAATCGTTCTAGTTTTGTGTACAGCTTGTAGAAAGGCAGTGGATATATTTGATATCCCAAAACCCTCCTAGAACCAAACTGACTCAGTTGGGGTTAACTGTAAAACTTGAGCCCAATAACTCATTTATTATGAAATAAAAGGATAAAGATTTTAATTTGACAAAGATTACAATTGATTGCCAAAAGGCTTATGTAATTCACTGAACTTACTTTTAAAACAAACTTGTTCATGGAATCTGGGTATCACTAGCAATTAAGGCCAGCATTTATTGCCCATGTTTAATTGCCATTGAAACTGTACTGGTAGCCAACTAACCACTACATCCTGTGCAGTATAGGTACTCATTACAATTAGGGAGGGAATTCCACGATTTTGACCAAACATTAATGAATGTACATTAATGCATTTTGATGTCAGGATGCTGTGCAATTTGAAGGAGAATTTGAGGATATTGGTGTCCCCATTTCCTATGCTACCCTTCTAAATTTAGGCTGTAAGTTTTAGTAGATGCTATGAGGAATTCTTGGTGAGTGCATCTTTTAGACGGTAAACATTGCAGCTGTAGTGCACTCATGATAGAGAGAAAGTGAATGTTAAAGATGTTGAATACCATTTCAAACACACAGGTTATTTTGTCTTGGATATTGTTAAGCATTGTGAGTCCTGTTGGAGGTGCACTCATTCAGAGAAGTGGGGGGAGTATTTCATCATACTTCTGACTTCTGCCTTATAGATAATGAACAGGCTTTGGGGAGTCAGAAGCAGAGTTTGTTTCTGCAGAATACTCAGCCTCTGATTGTTCCTATAGTTACAATAGTTATATGGCTAGTCAAATTAAATTTATGGTCAATGGTAACCTTGAGGTTGTTGTGAGCAGAGAATTCAAAAATGGCAATGCTATTGAGGTCAAGGGATGATTATTAAACTTTATATTGTTGGACATGTTCATTGTCTGGCACTTGTATGGTACAAATGTTATGTTGCAACTTACAATCCAAGCTTGAATGTTGTTCAGATCTTAATGTATACAGACACGGACTGCTTCAGTATATAAGAACCATGAATGACTGAAAACTGTGCAATGATCTGAACATCCTTATTTCTAACCTTATGATATAGGAAAACTCATTGTTGAAGCAGCTGAAGATGGAGGGGCCTAGGACACTCCCCTAGAAACTTGTGCAGATATGTCCTGCAGCTGCAATGATTCACATCCAACAACTACAATCATCTTTTGTTCTTACTGTGACTTTATACGAGTAAAATTTCTTTCTGACTCCCAATGACTTCAATTTCATGACGGCACTTTGATGCTACTCTTGGTCAAATACAGACTTGATATTAAAGGCAGTCACTCTCAATGCATCTCTAGAATTCTTTAGACTCTTAGAGGTGGATTCTCTAGTCACATTAGCAGAATCTAAACTGAACATAGGAACATAGAAACAGGAGTAGGCCATTCAACTCCTTGAGCCTGTTCCACCATTCAATGAGATCACGGCTGATCTGTGGCCTAACTCTATATACCGACTTTGGCCCATATCGCTCAATACCTTTGCTTAACAAAAGTTTATCTATCTTACATATAGAATTACCAACCGATCCTGCATCCACTGCCATTTGTGGAAGAGAGTTCCAAACACCTTTCGTGTGCAGATGTGCTTCCTAATATCTCCCCTGAATGATTTGGCCCTAATTCTCAGATTCTGTCCCCTTGTTCTGGAGTCTCCAACCAGTGTAGGTAGTTCACCTTTACATACCCCTTTCTTTTCCTGTTAATATCTTGTACACTTTGATCAGATCATCCCTTAACCTTCTAAATGCTAGAGAAAACAGGCCTAATTTGTATAATTCCTCATCATAACTTAACCGCTGAAGTCCAGGTATCATTCTTGTAAACCTACACTGTACTTCCTCCAAGGCCAATACATCCTTCCTGAGGGTGGTGCCCAGATCTGCTCTCAGTACTTCAAGTGGAGTCTCACCAGGCTTTTGCATAGCTGCAACTTAACTTCTGCATCCTTGTACTCAGTCCTTTAGCTGTAAATGCCAGCATTCCATTAGTCTTCTGCACCTATTCATGACATTTTAAAGATCTATGCAGCTGAAGTCCCAAGTCTCTTTGGACATCTACTGCATTTAACTTTATCTCATCGAGAAAGTACCCTGATTTATTTTTTTTTGCTATGTAACTGTCACCTGATAACACTGTGAATGGCACATTCCATCATTTTGCAGATCATCCAGAGCAGACTGATGGATTGGCAATTGATGGATTGTATTTGTCCTGTTTACTTGTGAACACAGCAAACCTGGCTAATTTTCTGACGTTCTGAAAAGTAAAATTATTTTTTGGAAACCATCAAAATCTTGTTTGCATTATGTTGTAGAAATTAAATCAATTTAGTCTTACTATTGCTATGAAATTAAGGAGACTTTTTTAACGTATCTTCTGCTTCATATACAAAAGGTAGACAATAAAGCAAAATAAATAAACATTGCAATAACACTCAACTGGGATTTTTGTATAGGCTAGCGATGTGGCTTTATTGGTTATGGCAAAATCTTTAAATGCCCAATGGAAGTGTTTAAAGTGAAGTGGCTCCTATTTATATTAAGGTAAAAGTTCACACCATAAAATGGCTCATAATCCAGCACTAAATCATTTCTGTACTTAAGGAAAGACATAAAAGACAGTTAGAGTAATAAATAGGACTAGCACAATGATATTGCAATGCATATCTTTCGAGCATTTATGCAATTTTACAGGAGATTCACTCATAATTGATCAGATATTGCTCATGAGTAATAACGAAGCTTGGTGAAAAAAAAGGTTTTTAATTTCCCCTTACTGACAAAAAAGCTTTTAAGAGAAGGAATGCTGCTTAATTTAAAACTACTCAGAAACAATCATTTCCATGAAATTATCTTGATTCTTTTCAACGATAGTAAATATTTCTTTAAAGTGATCAAATAAAATATATAATAAATTGTATCACTTAAAAACAGAAGCTGATTACAGATTCTGTCCTATGCATAATGTTGTTGAAGTACAATATTACTGCTACCTATTTCACCTCCTTTTATTTATGTGGATTAGTGTTTATGGCAAGCAATTTATTCTAGAGCTATCGACAAGTCAATTCATCAAAAGCATTAATCTGTACACATTTTTGGGAGTTTTGCAATTCGCAGCCAAGCCGCAGTTTCCATTAGGTAGACAGTATGCAAACTCCACTGTTGCATTGAAAAAATGAACTTTCATGACTTGAAACATTAAATCTGTTTATCTCTCCATGGATTCTGACAGATCTTCTGAGTATTTCCAACATTTGTATCCCAAACAGCCTGGTTCAACCTGAGACAACAGTCGGAGAGAGGAATAGAATTGGTGGCAAGGAAACAGCTTTCGAGATTGAGCCCAAAGACAACGAGTTACACCTCCCCAATATTGAACTGGAGGAAAATCATGCAGAGCAAGGACTGGATGTCAAACAAACAGCCCAAGAACAGATTTGGTTGATGGGACAAGATAAATAGCGATGAAGTAGAGCTGGAATTGTCATTGGAATTTTATGTCACATATTCAGATGATATTGGCAAAGGGGAACTTGCAGATGCAAAATAGGAAAAGACAAAGAGTAGATTCTGGGGAAACTCAAGAAGTAACTATGCAAAAATGGGACTGGCAGCCACTGCAAGAAATTCTCTCGCTATGGCCAAACAGTTGTTAGTGGAACAAAGCAAGGACACTCTCTCTCAATAGTCAGTGGAAGAGAGGCACTCGGGACATATGATGTGGTCAATCTGTTAAACAGTTTGTGCAGAGTTCATTGCAGCTCACATGCCAAGGCCCATTAAATATAATTAATCATGTCAAGTTTTCACAACAAAAGTAAATTTAACAAAAACATAGAAGCACACAGTTGAGGAAAAGAAGGTTACTTTTAGCTAAGATCTGGAACACTAGACAATTTGTTTCAGATTATTACAAATGATTTCTTTACCTCATCTTGTTTGCTTTTGACCTATTTGTTTCCGATCTAAAATGAAGCAGTACTGAATCACAAATGTAGAAATTTTAAAACCAAGTAAATAATGCCAGAATGATTTCTTCAAAATAAATTAATTTCCTGCAGAAAATTAACCTTTCACAGTATTGATTTCCATAATGAAAAATGAAACCTGTAAGAGAGGAAACCTTAAAGCATGGACAATCATGAAAATGACAAAAACAGCAACAATCTCCCCAGGCTAAAGGTTAATGAGATTAATAGCTGAAAAACTGGTGCCTCACCCTCTTGAACAGCTTGAAATGGATTGTTGGAGTCAACAAATCTGACAGAGAATGTTATCTTTTCGTTTTGCAGTATTTCTTCATTCATGTTCATTTCAGCCACAGCTAATCGAAACATTTTGTCATCCTTTCTCGCAGATTCCTCAAAAATTGCACCTGAAGATGGAAAAAAGATATTGATATCAACCCATTTACTTCAGTGTACTTAGACAATGAATCAAAATTATTTGTAAATATATTCATTAAGTAGCTGAACATTATATTAATGACGTAGATTAGAAAATGTTCAGAATAAACTAACAATAATCTTCAAGTATGGTGGCTCACTTGCATCACTGCACAATAAGAAATTATTGCATATAAGTTACATTGACTTTTCTGCTGTATCAATGAATTCAAATAAAGTATCTCTGAAAAAAAGCCAATATTTTAACAAGACACTCAACACTTTTTATGAAAATGCACTATATATCTCAATTAGAACAAGTTTACAAGAAATGTGCTAAAGTTTAAGACTTCCTACGTTTTTGACACTAGAACGCAAATTTAAATTTCCTTTTGTAATCAATAGTGAGGTGAGTTTGCTTCCAATAAGGTGTTTTTATCTGGTGTGGCAATGCTTACTTTATCTTGGTGAGGTAAGAAATTGTGCTCGGATATTGTGATATTAAAGAATCCAACAGATATCAATTACAGCTAACTATTATGTACAAACATTACAATCATGCACATATGTGTCTGAGTTAACATCAGATTATTAGGTTACAACAGTGGAGTCTGTCATGTTTCAAATAATCCCAAGTAAGGTGGAGTGTGAAACCATTATTCTTTCAGTCATACACCAGTGGTGATATTGTTAGTTTGTCTCCTAAAGGCATGCTGTCAAACTAATTAAGATTGTACAACATTCCCCTTTTCCAAAGATAACATACCTGAACATAAACAGATATACATGGTTATACATAGGCATGTGTTGTCAATTTAATAATTACACAAATCAGTGAAACAAAGTGCAACATTACATTTTGGAACTTTGAAATCTTGATCTTGTGGTCAAATGTCTGTCTGGCAGATTACACTTTTTTCTTGTTTGGCAACTTATTTATTTAGCTGTTAATTGTTGTGACTCAACATCACCACACAACCATCATCAAAGTATGTTTCCTCACAGTTTATGCATTATTGAAATTGATGTACTTTATATTAGGCTGAACTGACTTTCGTTCCTTCGAAATGTGCTACTGTAAAGTGGCTAGTGAGGACTTTGTATGATCTTGGCTGGTTACACATTCTGGAAATCTTTACTGGCATCTAAGTATTTAAACCTGAATTTAAAACTCACACTTTTAATCCATTCTGCAATTTTGTTAGATTTTGTGAGGTCAGCCAGCAAAATGACCGAGGAGGAGCTGGAGGATACAGGGGGAGGTTACTGAACACAGCAACACTGGTGGTCCAAGGTGTATTTGTTTTAATGCAAGGAGTATGACAGGTAAGGCAGGCAAACTTAGAGCTTGGATTAACATGTATAACTATGATGTTGTAGCTATTACACAGACTTAGTTGAGAGATGGACAAGAGCAGCAGCTTGACATTCAAGGATTTAGATGTTTCAGGTGAGATGGAGACGGATGTAAAAGAGGTGGGGCAGTTGTGTAACTGATAAGGGAGAATATCACGGCTGTTGCGAAGGAGGACACCTTGAAGGTCTTATCCAGTGAGGCCGTATAGGTTGAGGTCAGGAAGAGGAAAGGGACTTTGATGGGATTGTACTACAGGCCTTCCAACAGCTAGCGGGTGATAGAGGAACATATATTTTGACAAATTATGGAAAAAATGTAAAAACAGCAGGGTTGTTGTGATGGGTGATTTGTGCCAGGGGTTTGGATGTGGGGTGGAGTTTGTAATGTGTATCCAAGATGGTGTTTTTGAAACAATATATGAATAGTCCTACAATGGAAGGGGCCACACTAGATCTGGTATTGGGGAATGAGCCCGGCCAGGTGACTAAAGTTTCAGTGGGAAGCCTTCTGAGAGCAGTGCTCATAATTCTGTAAGTTTTAAGTTAATTATGGATAAGAAAAAGAGTAGTCCTCAGGTGAACGTACTAAATTGGGGGAAGGCCAATTGGCACAATTTTAGGCAGTAACTGGGGAATGTTGATTGGGGGCTGCTGTTTGAGGTTAAATCCACATCTGTCATGCCTAAATCTTTTAAAGACCGTTGGTTAGAGTCCAGAACCAGTATGTTCCTATGAAAATGAAGGATAAAAATGGCAAGATTCAAGCACTTGGATGACAAGAAAATTTGAGAACTTAGTCAGAAAGAAAGAGGAGGCATACATAAGGTTTGGGAAACTAAGTAAAGACAGAGTCTTCGAAAAACACAAAAATAAAGAAAAGAACTCAAACAAGAAATTAGAATGCCTAAAAAGGGCCATGAAATGTCTTCAGTAAACAGGATTAAGAAAATCCCAAGGCATTTTAGACATATATAAGGAGTAAGAGGATAGGCACGGAAAGGATAGGTCCACTCAAGGACAAAGGAGGGAATTTACGCATGGAGCTGGAGGAAGTGGGTGAGGTCCTTAACAAATTCTTTGTATTGTTATTCACAAAGCAGAAGGACATGGTGGATGATGAGTCTTGGAAGGGTTATGTTGATATTCTAAGGCATGTCAGTATAAAAAAAAATGTTGGCTGTTTTGAAAAGCATTAAGGTAGGCAACTCCCGAGGTCCTAATGGGATCTATTCCAGAATACTGAGGGAAGCAGTTCAAGAAATTGCTAGAGCCTTGTATGAAATCTTTGTATCTTCTTTAGAGGTCTCAGATGACTAGAGAATAGCCAATATTGTTTCTTTGTTTAAGAAGGGCAACAGGGATAGTTTGGAAAATTACAGGCTGGTAAGCCTTACGGAAATTATTGCAGAAGATTCTTAAGGATAGGATTTACTAATGTTTGGGGAAATGTGGACTTATTAGTGATAAGCAGCAAGGCTTTAAGTGGGGAATGTTGTTGTCTCACAAACTTGGTTGAGGTTTTTGAGAAAATGACAAAGCTGATTTATGAGGATAGAATGGTAGACATTGTCAATATAGACTTTAGCAAGACTTTTGACAAGGTCCTTCTTCGCAGGCAGGTTCAAATAGTGAAGTAATATGGGATCTGCAGTGAGCTGGTAAGATGGATAAAAAAAAAAACTGGCTGAATCAAAGAAGACAGAGCCTAGTGGTGGAACAGTGTTTGGAGATCTGTGACCAGTGGTGTTCCTCAGGGATCAGTGCTGGAACCCCTGTTGTTTGTAACATATCTGAATGATTTGGAAGAGAATGTAGGTGGCCTGATTAGTAACTTTGCGGATGACACAAAGATTGACGAGCTGTGGATACTGAAGAGGATCGCCAGAAGATACAGCAGGATATAGATTGGGTGGAAAAATGGCAGATGGCATTTAATCTGGACAAGCGGGGTGATGTATTTTGGAAGGCCTAATTCAGGAGAGAAGTATACAGAAAATGGCAAAACCCTTAGTAATATCAATATTCTTTTTTATTCATTAACGGAATGAGGGTGTCGCTGGCTTTGCAACATTTATTGCCCATCCCTAATTGCCCAGAGGGCAGTTAAGAGTCAACCACATTGCTGTGGGTCTGGAGTCACATGTAGGCCAGACCAGGTTCCTTCCCTAGTGGACATTGGTGAACCAGATGGGTTTTTCTGACAATTGACAATGGATTCACAGTCATCATTAGACTCTCAATTCCAGAATTTATTGAATTCAAATTCCACCATCTGCCGTGGCGGGATTTGAAACCAGGTCTCCAGAATGTTATCTGGGTCTCTGGATCAATAATTCAGCAATAATACCACTAGGCCATCGCCTCCCCGAGGCATCAAGGTGTACAGGTTCACAGTTCCATCGAAGAGACAACATAAGTGGATAAGGTGGTCAAGAAGGTATATGACATGCTTGCCTTCATCAGTTGGGGCATGGAATATAAAAGTTGGCAGCTGTATAGGACTCTAGTTAGGCCACATCTGGAATATAGTATACAGTTCTGGTTGCCACACTACCAGAAGGATATGGAGAGGGTACAGAAACAGTTTACCACGACATTGCCTGGTTTGGAGGGTATTAGTTATGAGGAGAGATTGGACAAACTTGGTTTGCTCTCACTTGAACATTGGCAGAAGGAGGCAATTTGACAGAAGTTCTCAAAATTATGAGAGGCATAGATGGAACGGATAGTCAGAGTATTTTTTTCCCAGGATAGAAATGTCAATTACTAAGAAGCATTTGATTAACCTGTAAGGGACTAAGTTTAAATGAGATGTGAGAGGGAAGTTTTTTAGACAGAGAGTGGTAAGTGACTGAAATGCACTGCCAAAGGAGGTGTAGAAGGTGGATACAAAAACATAATTTAAGATGCGTCTTGACAGATACACGAATAGGCAGGGAATGGAGGGATATGGTCCATGTGGGGTGAAAAGTTTTAGTTTTGAAAGGCATCATGTATCAGCTCAGTCTCGGTGGGCTAAAAGGCCTGTTCCTGTGCAGTACTGTTCTTTATCCCAACTGCTTCCATTTCATGTATCTCTTTCATTCTCCTCTGTCTTTGGGGAAGAATACTCCACATCTCAGAATGGTTAGTTCATTTTTTGCTGGGCAAGGTCATTATATTTGTCTTCCAAGTTGTGCTGAGCATGGTAACCCTTTTCAAGTGGCGTTCTACAACAGCGCAGCAATGCAATCTTAAAATCTTGCTTTGTTGCTCAATACCTAATGAGCACAGATTTGACAGTACAGATCTCATATTCTGATAAATTGTTTGAGCTTATATAGTGAGATAACAATGTGAAATTGGCCATTCCTCCAGTGTACATATCATGAAACAGTTTATCATTGTACTTTGGTCTATTGTCATCTGAAATACTGTGTAAATTGAAAGTAGCATTAATCATTAATAGAAGTTTTGAAGATGGGTCACTTGACCCAAAACGTTAGCTCTGCTTTCTCTCCACAGATTCTGCAGACCTGCTGAAATTTTCCAGTGAGTTCTTCTAATTATGTCAGAACAAGTCATATTTATTGTATTGTTAAACTATGCAAAACTTAGAAAAGTAATCCATCAAAAGGATGTAATTTTCGTTGTG